AAATTACTACCATGATGTATAATTACTTTACAATTTAAATTTTAAATATATATTGTATTACAATCATGACTTTTTTTTTTTTTTACAAATTACTACTATGATACATAATTATTTCACAATTTAAATTTTAAATGTTTATTACAATAATGAGATTTTTTTACATAAATTACAGCCATAATGCATAATTACTTTACAGTTTAAATTGTAAATATATACTGTTTTACAGTAATCAGAATTTTTTTTTACATAAATTACTACCATAATTCATAATTTTCACAATTTACATTTTAAATATATATTGTATTACAGTAATTAAATGTAGATTTTTTGTATTACATTACTACTGTGATGCGTAATTAAAATGTAAACATTAAATATATATTTTACTATAGTAATTAAATGTAGATTGTTTTACATAAATGACTACTATGATGCATAATTACTTTACAATTTATATGCATAATTATTTCACAATTTAAATATATATATATATATATATATATATATATATATTAACACACACATACACAATTGAATTGTTTATTTGTTTATCTTCTTTGAGATTTTTATCTCAAGCATCAGGACAACAGCTTTGATATGTTAGGGACAATTTTTATTTTATTGTAAAAAAAATTATATTTTATTTTCATATATTTTCTAACGTAAATATTTAGATGTATATGTAAATAAATATACTTTTTCTAAATAAACATCTTTAATATAATTATTATAATATAATTATAATATACTAATACAAATTTTTAACATATATATTGTGCTAAATGATATTATCATAAGTTTATTTATATACATCTAAATATCAATTAAAATAAATATTTGTGTATATAAATAAATATATACTATTAATAAGATATATTATTATATAATATATATATATATATATAATATAATTACATAAACAAAAAATATTTTCTTTTTTAAATATTTTTTTAAATAAATATCTTTCCTATAATTATATTATTATAATTTATAATGTAATAAGATATTTTATTACATAATATATTTATAGATATTATTATTTTATAATTACATGCACACACAAAATATTTTATCCTTTTAAAATATTTTTAAATAAAAATCTTTAATATAATTATATTATTATAATTTATAATGTAATTCTAAATATATTTAACAATTATTAATAATGTACAATATATATGTTTATATTACAATATTATATTTTAAGCATCAGGACAACAGCTCTGACTAACCATCTTCCATCATAATGTACCGTTACCGCATATTACATTCTGATATACATGATACTGTACGTACTAATCAATATCATTTACTTGCATTGATCATTGTTCCATGATGTGTAAACGACATTCTTGCATTGCATGTACGGTACAGGATACTGTACACTGTTTGCTCGTCATTGGTCAAACACTATCCATAAAAGACATGCAGAAATGAGACGATTTGTGGGATTTTTGCGAGTTTTGTACAGTTCTAGTTGGCATTTCCATCCAGACTGGCTTTTGTTGAAATATTTGTGTTCATCATCATCATCATAATTGGTCTGTGTTGTACTCTTCTGAGACAGTCGTTATCATAGTAACACACAGTTGAGTTTCTCACAATCACTGAGCGCATGATTTACACACAAACCGTGTTCAGCCTTCAAAAGGTGTGCACGTCTCTCATGTCTCACACCCGTCTAATGTTTGTCTTGTGTGTTTGTGCTCTTCATGCTGCGCTCTCTCTCACGTCTGAAGGCTTTGACAGCATAGCCGGCTCTCTGCGTCTCTCTCCAGTGACCTCGCCCTACAGCTCGCCCTCCCGCTCCCCTGTCCCGTCCATCTTCTGAGGCCACGCCCCCACGCTCAAACACAGCCAAAGACTCCGCCTACTGTGGGCGGGGCTCTGTATTATGTAGCAATTATGATGTTCCATACATAACTGTATATAGAGTGGTATTAGAAAGTTTATCAGAAGAAATATTGGGGCGAATCTCACAAAATCATAATGCAATAAATTATATTTTGCTTAATGACAATGAAGCCTGTGACATTTCAATTAAACAATTATTAGTACTGTTAAAATTAGTTTTCTGTGTAATTCCCATTATTCTTAGTGATGCTTCTCTCTAGATTATTATTTAAGTAGTATAGTATAAAAATTTTTTTTTTTTTTTAAATGAACATAAATCAGTTATTGAATTAAGATATTAAATTACATAAATTACTACCATGATGCATAACTATTTCACAATTAAAATTTTAAATATATATTGTTTTACTGTAATGAAAATTAGTTTTTTTTATATACATTACTACCATAATCCATAATTACTTTACAACTAAATTTTTAAATATATATTGTGTTACAGTAATGAGAATGGATTTTTTTTTTACATAAATTACTTCCATGATGCTTAATTATTTCACAATTTACATTTTAAATATATATTATTATATTACAGTAATGAAAATCGTTTTTTTACATAATTAAAGTTATATATATATTATATATTTAA